AGATGATTAAATTTCTAAAATTCTAGATACCTATAGGCTATAGACACATGTCTTAGCTATACTCTCTGTGAATATTGAGTTTATTGACGCGCGATTAGTCAATATATTAGCAAATATATGCGTACCGTAATCTCCCGTACCGGCCTGAATATAGACACTCCCTATCAAATGTGACGCCACCGCGCTGTGACCGCGCCACCTGCCGCCATCTTGCAACCGCTCCTCAAAGCTGAATCTGCCGGTCTGTGCCCCACATCATTTCAAATGAAAATTAAGAAAATGCGACCTATTCTATTATTCAAATTAGCATGAAAAATAACTTTGATTAATACTTAAAAGATCATATAAATATGCATATGTATATATCTAGATATATACAGCTAGAATGAAAGAGAAATGCACGATATAATAGTTTTGCACATGACGTCACGAGTCACGTGCTACACATTCTACCAATGATAATAATTTTTGTTACCAGTCAAATCCCATCTTACTATAAATTGGGGATTTTCTGTGTGTGTGTGTGTGTGTGTGTGTGTCCGGCTATACGTTTCCGCACCGCTCAACGGATCCTCTCCAAACTTCTACAGATCATGACACGTTGCATGGGCAATTTTTTTTCACAATTTTATTTTTTTCACATTCCACGTTCAAAAACATTAAAATAGTGCGAAATTTTTGCACCAAGCGCGGTGCAACGTCACAACACGAAAACACAATAGCAATGTAAAAAATAATGTATAACCAAAGGCGCTCCATCTAAGATTTTCTAAGTCGCCCTATATCTAATCTACAGATAATAGATATCTAATCTAATTCTAATCTAACCAGAGAAATGTTATACATTGTTTTTTAAATGGAGCGCATTTCGTTATAACATAAGTCAAACTTTCCACACGGCATAAAACTTGTTGGTTAAATAATGTTGGTTAAATAATTGTTGGTTTAATAAATTGGTTATAACAAGTGCCCAGGTAATGCCACCAAAAAGATAGGCATCATTGACACGTCGAGATATTAAGCATTGACAAGATACCGCCCGCAAAAAAGTCGCCCGCTGTCAAGAAACTCCTGATGTCGCAGGTAAGATTTTCAAACGTAAACGTAAAACGTACAACGTTCAGGCTGACCTCTAATAATACTCTTACAAGCTCTCTTTTTTTTAGTTAGTGTGTGTGTGTGTGTGTGTGTGTGTGTGTGTGTGTGTGTGTGTGTAGTTGTGTGTAGTGTGTGTGTGGTGTTGGTGTGTGCTCGTGCTGTGTGTTTGCTGTGTGGTTCCTGCGTGCTGCCCGCTGTAGTGGTCTGTGCGTGATAGTATGTGTTTGTGAGCGATCTGTGTGTGTTTAATGCGCACGCCGCGGTGTTTGGCTGCATGTGGTTGTGTTTGTGTATGGCGTGTGTGGTTGTCGGTGTGCCAGTGTGTGTGTGTGTTTATGGCGCGCGCTGGTGGTGAGTGTGCGCGCGAGCGCAATTGGGATTGGTGGTTGTTGGAGTATGGTCCCAGTGTTGTAGTCGAGTTCCGCACCCCCCCCGCCCCCGAGTCGCCGACGTCCCGCACCCCCACGATCTGAAGTCGAGTCCGCACCCTCCCGAGTCCTGCAGTCCAAGCCGCACCCGCCCCGAGTCCTGAGTCTGAGTCCGGGATCCGCCGTCCGTAGTCCGAGTCACACACCACCCGAGCGCGAGTCCGACCTACCAGTTTTGATAAAAAAAAGGAAAAAAAATTTGGAAATAAGGGACAAAAATCGGGAAAAAGGTAAAAAAATCGCCAACATGCAGTCGAAGCACCATCGAAAGTGATAGGCGATGTTCACGTGACGTCATAGGTCAGGTCAACTCATTACGCCTTCCGCCAGGGGCTTGGCGGCACGGTTTATGTTCTCTTAACCTGGCGTACGTGGTTTGAGTGTGTATGGTTTGTGTGTTTGTGTTTGTTAACATGCACTCTTCAGTTCCACTCCGCTAGGTGCGCTAGTCTTAGACTCTACAAGCACCGCAACCACAGGCTAAGAGGCCAAACCACAGGTCCGCTCCCCTCACCTGCACGCCGCCACTAATCTCGGATCCAAGTGAAGTATTAATAGATTGAAATGTAATTCCACTACATTAATTAATTAATTAATAAAAAATTTCACATTGAGAGAATTCAGCTGCCTTGGCGGAGGTCTGTGCTCTCCGAGTGCTCTAGTATTTGTTATGTGTTGTGGTTGGCAGAAGCGAAGCGTGCTGCTTGACATTTACAGATTAATGACCACATGTTCTGATAGAAAGCGCTGTTTATGTAGTGCACGTACACGTGCGTGCTGCGTGCGTGCGTGTGTGCGTGCGTGTGTGCGCGCGTGTGCAGGTACACGTTCGTGCGTGCGTGTGTGCGTGTGCAGGTACACGTGTGTGCGTGCGTGCGTGTGCACGTATACGTGCGTGCATGCGTGCGTGCGTGTGCACGTACACGTGCGTGCGTGCGTGCGTGCGTGCGTGCGCGCGTGTGTACGTACACGTGCGTGCGTGCGTGCGTGTGAACTTACACGAGCATGCATGCGTGCGTGCGTCCGTGTGTGTGCACATACACGTGCATGCGTGCGTGCGTGCGTGTGCAGGTACACGTTCGTGCGTGCGTGCGTGCGTGTGTGCGTGTGCAGGTATACACGTGTGTGCATGTGTGCGTGCGTGCGTACGTGCGTGTGTGTGCAAGTACACGTGCGTGCGTGCGTGTGCACGTATACGTGCGCGCATGCGTGCGTGCGTGTGCACGCACACGTGCGTGCATGAGTGTGTGCGTGCGTGCGTGCGTGTGTACGTGCACGTGCGTGCGTGTGAACTTACACGAGCGTGCATGTGTCCGTGTGTGTGCACGTACACGTGCATGCGTGCGTGCGTGAGTGTGCAGGTTCACGTTTGTGCGTGCGTGCGTGCGTGTGCAGGTACACGTGTGCATGTGTGCGTGCGTGCGTACGTGCGTGTGTGTGCTGGTACACGTGTGTGCGTGCGTGCATGCATGTGCACGTAGACGTGCGTGCGTGCGTGTGCACGTACACGTGCGTGCATGCAAGCGTGCGTGTGCGTGTGCACGTACACGTGCGTGCATGCAAGCGTGCGTGCTTGCGTGCGTGCGTGCGTGCAATTGCATCGAGCAATATCACGCATCTGCTTGCTGCCAACCGTTAAACTGCGCATGTGCTCATATGACGTCAATGTTTATAAACACTAGCTGAAACCCGCGCTACGCGCGGGCTTAGTAACTGTGATGCATGTGTTACCAGTACAGTAGTGTTATGTGTAAGGTGTTATATTCCACAACTCCTCAATTGACCGATTATTCGGCTTTCTGTAGTACCCAGAGGGCTTCGAGTAGTTAGTTCTACATAGAGGGCAGCGAATTGGATCAAAAGGCGCCGCGAGGCGGCGCTGTTCGCGCTTCGCGCGTATATCCGGGCTGCAGATCGTCCAGTAACTACCGGTAGGAATTCTTCAGAAGAACCACACCCATGTTCGCGGAATGAGAGGCCTGGTCCCTAGTGTGATGAAAAACCAACACTGAGATATAGAACTAACCATGCTCTGATAACCCAGAACGCTTTGTACTAAAGCAATGAGCCAGACGGATTTCGTGCAAGCAATTTTAATACTCTATTTGTAATTTTTAGTGGTTTTCATATCAATGGCCACTTTAGTAGTCATACAAGTTGGCATGCGAGTAAATACATGTTTATGCTATGTTTATGCACAGGATCTTTAAATTCCTACTCTTGGAATCTGATTGGAATTTTCAGATTTATTTGATTTCTTTGGTTATTCTGACACGAATGTATCGTCTCCTTTGTCATGCAAGCATTTTGATGATAAATTACATATATAAACATTGTTGATTGTAATTTTCATATTAGTTGTTCCTTGGTAGTCATTCAACAAAATAAATGTTGGTGTTTTTATAGTCGGCTAACTTCGAAAATTATTTCTAACATTGCCACCATATCAAAATCAAAAAATATATATAATTTTGACGTTGAATAAGAATGATTGAATAAACTAGTATTTCCTCACCTTGGGATATTTGTCCTTCATCACTTGGTGCAAAGCTTGACCGGGTCTCGTTAACAATGCTGCTCAACGTCCTCTCTCCTATATCCGGAATTGGAAAGACAGACTTCGGAAACTTTCACCTAAATATAGTAAACAATTAATTCTTTTTGATTGGATGGCTATATACTAAATTTCATGATTGTTGAGCATAAAACATATTGACAAGTTATGGAATAACAGTTTTTTTTTTTTACCAAACCAGGAACTTTTACATGCCACCGGATGGCGGGGAACTGGGAGACAGGCGGTGATAAAACATGCATGAAATCGTTTTACTGTTTACTCACCAGTGTAACAGTGCGCCGGAATGTTTAAATTAGAGATTGTTTATTTTAGAATTATTCTCCCATATTATAATATATATTATATATATATATATTTCTCACATTTGTACATTTTCTTAGGCATGTTAGTACGAGTAAACTAGCCAAGGCCATCTGCATGTGTGTGCGAGAGTCAGATGTGAGTTTCTAACTGCGTAGTTCAGTGGCAGGGAAAAGAAAGATGAACGCCTTCAGGAAAAGAAAGAGATGTAGACGGCGCTAGGATAGTCGCGTTGGTGCAACGCGCATTCGCGCGCACATTGATATAACAAGTCCCGCCGGCGCGAGAGAAACACGAAGAGAAACAGGTTAGGAGAGTGAGCCGCGACGACGAGTCACCGCAGGCGCGGTTGACACTCGGAGTATTTCAGGGCGTGGCAGGTAGCCATGGAAGACGGAACGTAGTTTAATCCTAGATTTCACGCAGTCAAGTCATCTAGTCTATACGTAGAATAATTAATCGTAACCCTAATCTAGTCCTGTTACAACAAAGACGTGTTATTTACTGTATTTTCATCGTCACATCGTCTACGTCGCATCGAGATACAAAGAGAAGCTCGACATCCTCAGCGGAAACGCAAACACGAAACGTAATCGACGGGTTAAGAGACAATAACGCAACGCAAGTTCTATGGTTTTACCAGGTTTCATACCAGTTGCTAAGAAAACGTACGTTACCGCTAATCTTCGCCGGGACATAAGCTGCTCTGCATGAGGTGTTTTCTTTCTTATCAGGTGGTCCAACATGATGCAAGAGAACTTCTGAAAACCGCCGAATTTGATTCAATCGATGGAAATGCCGAACTTTGTGTCCTCTTCTTTTTAATTCGTGCAGGAGATTAGTGAAAGCGCCGCGCCTGCTTCCTCAATATCCAACTTCTCGACCAATACGTACGGTTAATCGCTCGCCCGACTCGCGACGCCGGCATCAATACAATTAACGCCAGCGTTTCTTCTTCATCCAATCCACTGACTACCGCAGGCGATGCCAATTGAAACTTCGTGAGCGTGTACTCGCTTCGCAGATGGTCGCAAGACTCGTTGCAAACGTTATATATAATATATATTAAATATTGGTTGAAAACTACGCATGACTCGATCAGAGCCTAGAACGACTTGCGGTCATCACGCTGGCGGTTGGCGGCGCGCATGATGATGTACAGGGGGGGG